GCCCCAGCTTTTTTTGGTTCGGGAGGGGGTTCTTCCCTTTGAAAAGGGTTGTGTTTGGGCCTGCGGGGAGGCCTCCGGATCCCCTGGGGGGCAGTTTCCCCCCCCCGGTCCCCCCCCTCACTTGCCGTCCCCCAATTCGCCAGAACCAACCTCGGAAAAATTTTCCCGGGGCTGGGGCCGGGCTGGCGACGGGCTGGCGGCGGGCTGGCCCCGACTGGCCAAGAAAAGTACCCCCCCCCCCCCCCCCCCGAATCGTCCACACCGCGGGATCACATCTCGGCTCGATCTCGGCTCGATCTCCCTCCACCTCGTCCAGGATCCACTGCGGGATGTCGCTCAGCCCGAGCACCTGCGCTCGCAACACCAGCGCCTCATGGCGCAGCAGGGACGGGCAGCCGAAGAAGAGGCCGCCGCACCCTCCCAGCCGGCCCCGCCCGCTCCTCCGCCCCCTCACCCACACCCGCACCCTCACCCGCACCGCCGCCAGCACGGCTGCCAGCGCCTCCGCCGCCAGCGCCTCCGCCGCCCGCGCCGTCGGAAGCCGCGGCGGCCTTTGCAGCGAGCGCGTGCACGGCGTCGAGGCCGCTGCTCATGGCGAGCGCCTGCGCGGGAGGCGTCTTGCGGGTGGTGGCTGGTCTCGCAGCTCCGTCGCAGCTCGCAGCTCTGTCTCGCGCTCCGTCTCTCGCAGCTCCGTCTCTCGCAGCTCCGTCTCTCAGCTCTGTCTCGCAGCTGTCCGCAGCTCTGTCTCGCAGCTCTGTCTCGTGTGCTGCTAGTGTCTTGCAGTGTGTCTTGCAGTGTGTCCCGCAGCGAGGAGGGCTTCTGTGGGGAGGTGCTATCTCTCGGCCATCTCGCGGCCATCTCTCGGCTGCCTCGCCTTTGTGGCGGGGTGCTATCTCTCGGCTGTCTCTCGGCTGCCGCCTTTGTAGCGAGGTGCCGCTCTTCCTCGGGGAGGCCTTCGAGCGCGGCGTAGGCCACCGCGTCCGCCGTCCGTGCCTCGAGCGTGTCCTCGCCGGCGAGCACCCCGGTCCACCACTCCGCCTCGGCGCCGAGCCGGCCGTCCTTGGCGAGGGCAATGATCAGCGACCCGTCCTCCACGCTCCACTCACACTCGTCCGTCAGCACGGGTCGCTGCAGCTCGCCGCGCAGGAGGTGCTGCCACTGGGGAGGCGGTGGGAGAGGCGGTCGGAGGGTGGCCTGTGAGCCGCAGGGACCGCGGCGTCTGCGGCCACCTCGTCGCCGCAGCTCCTGGCCGCCACGCTCACGCGGCTCCGATTGATCTCGACACGAAAGTCTCGGCCGCGACGAGAGCCGGCGTTGATGGCGATCGTCACTTCGCGGGCGGACTGACCCCACCTGTAGTGAGCGCCACTGCCGCCATTCTTGAGGGAGGGAGCGGCCATGCGGGAATTCGGTCCATACTAGGGCGAGTCTTTGGAGCGAGACCTCGAAAGAGCAACACAAGGGGTCCCTCGAGAGGGGTACCCTGGGTGGGCGGGCCCTCTACTCGCCGGGAGAAAAGAGAGGGGGTTGTGTTCTCTAGGCCCCTAAGGGCCCTACGCGCGGCGTGAGAGCTCGGAAGCGAGCTTTGCACGGCGATCGAGGATGGCGCGGGCACTTTTCTCCCTCTTCTCTAAGTACCGTGCGTGCGGTGTCCTCCGATGCAACTTGGATCCGCGGCGGGGCGACGATCTCCAGCGTCCGATCACGCGGTCGAGGAGGCGTAAGCGCCTCACCGCCGCCGTGTCGGAGGCGGGCAAGCCGGAGAGGCTCTTGCGCAGGGCGACGCGCAATGCGGAAAAAAGAATTTCGAGGCGCGCCGGGCGCAGAAAGAAAGAAAGAAAAAAGACAGCCCAAGGGAGGGATGGCGGATGGGGAGAGAGAGAGTGTTGTTCGGATGGGAGGACGGCACGCCGCCACCACACAGGGATTTTAAGGAGAGGTGTGTGGTGCTAGCCGTCGCCCACCCTAACCCTTGGGCGTCTGCTTCTTCCTATCTCTCCTCGCAGTCCCTCGCCAATTCTCGCTGCAACCTTCAAGCTTCATGCCACCTCGCGGTCGTCCCACTCTCGTCGTTCTCTCTCCTGTCGCTTCATCCTCTGTCGCGTCGCTCTCCTCTGCCTCGTTCTGCGACGGCGCCGCCGCCTGCCGCTCCCTTGCTCTCGCGGCTTCTCCCGCCTTTCGGCGCAACTCTGCCGCCCGGGCATATTTGTTTTGGCCCCTCCAGCCGGGCAAGCAAGCCGACTCAGCGATGCTGCTCCTCTCCGCCGCCGCCTCGCTTTCCTTCAGCTTAATCGCCGGTCCGTCCGTCCACACGCCTCTTGCAGCCACCAGCTGCCGGAGCGCTGCGGCACTGGCCACTGCGGACCCGCTCGCCGCCGCCAGACTCTCCACAGGCACCGACGGGAAGTTCCCTCCATGGCCCGAGTGGGAGCGTCCTCCGGCCGAGTACGAGGAGCTGGTTGCGACGTTTGTCGAAGGGGCGACGACGGTGCCGCTCGGCGCGTCGGCCGGCCAAGGCGTCGGGTGGGAGGAGTGGGCGGACGGCGGCTTCAGCGTGCACTTGCTCTTGACTCGCCGCCTGAGCCGGCAGACGTACATCGCGGCGCTGGACGGGCTTCTCGGCCTGGTGGTGCGCTGCCAGCAGACCTACCCGGACCTATACGCCGTGCTCAAGTTCGTGCCCAAGAAGAATGGCCTCAACCCGCTCCTCGCACGGCGCGCCTCTGGGACCCTTCCGAGACCCTTCCGAGGCCCTTCCGAGGCCCTTCCGAGGCTCTCCCTTCACACATCGACGGCACCGCTCCAAGAGACGGCCGACCCCGCCGCCGCACCCCGCGCCCCGCCCCCGCGCAGGCGCGCCGACGGCAAGGAGATTGCGCCGCACGGGCGGAAGCAGGCCCCGTGAGAGAGTCCGCTATCTCTGAGCCTCTCGGACCAGCCCTGCAGGAGGTCGCGCCGCTGGACGGAGGCAAGCCGAGGGAGGTGCGGCGGGCGCTCGACGACGTGCAGCGCGCGCTCGAGCAGAGCTGGCTGTTGGTGGCAGCGTACCTCACTCTGCCGACCGCGGAGGACCGAGAAGACTTGCTCTGGTCCGCGCGGACGGTGACGGAGAAGGTCAAGACGGACCAGCGCTCGCGCTCACTCGAGGTCCTCTGCCTCGCCTTCTTCTGGCGCGGCGCCGACGAGTGACCGCCTGCTCGACTTCTCAGTTGACTGGTTCTGCTTGCGGCTGAATCCATTCCTTTCTTATTGGTGAGGTACCGCCTGCTCGACCGCTCGCTGTGGCCGTCGCTGAAGAGCTCCTTCGAGACCAACTTTGGGGCGAGCAGCGGCAGGACTGTGGGTGCCGAGCTCACACAGAATGGTGCACTAGGCCTACGCGTTGCGACTTTAGGGCACCCGGCCCTAGCCGCAGAACACGTATTCATGTATCCCAACCAGAGGAGGCGTATTCAGCTGCCTTCGGCCGTCTTCCGCTGTATTCACTGTGTGCGTGCCCCTCGTGTTCACACGGTGCTCTGAATGTTGTCGGCGCATTCAGCGCGTAGGGAACTGGCAACTGGATTCGATGCTCTGGAGGTATGGTACACGTAGGCAACTGGCACCCCAAGCCGACCAACGCGCGCCTCATCTGGCAGCGCTGCCGCATGGTGTACCCGTTCCTCGAGATAGCGAACCGCGCGTGGCTCTGCGCGGCGGCGGCGGCACGACCCGAGGGTGAGGCGGAGGAGTGGTGGGGAGAGGAGGAGGCGGAGGCGCCGGTGGAAGAGGAGGCGGCGGAGGCGGCGGAGGCGGCGGCGGCGGAGGCGGCGGAGGCGGAGGCGGAGGTGGAGGCGGAGGCGGAGGCAGAGGGAGGGGAGGCGGAGGGAGGGGAGGCGGCGTCGCCCTTCCACGCGCACTTCGAAGGCGTGCCGGAGGAGTGGGAGCGCGACTCGAGCGAGGTTGCGTACATGCTCGACCGGATCGCGCGCGCGGGCCCCGAGGAGAAGGTGATCGCTCGCTGCTGCACCTCGGCTGTCCTTCGGCCGCACCTCGGCCGCACCTCGGCCGCACTTCGGCTGCACCTCGGCTGCACTTCGGCCGTACCTCGGTCGCACTTCGGCCGCACCTCGGCCGTATCTCGCTCGCAGGTGATCAACTCGCTGCTGTACTGGCTGCTCGACTCGTGGCACCGCGCCATCGGCCACGGCGAGACGGTGGTTGCCTACGCGCCCGAGCCCTTCCTTCTCCGCCGCCAAGGCGCGGCGGCGCGGCTGAGCGGAGAGCTGGCGGCGACCGGACGGCTGGTCGAGCTGTGCGCCAGCTGCGGGGCGTACGACGAGGAGGGCCTCTGCGTTGTGACGGAGGACGACGTGGGCGACCGGATGCTGCTGCAGGTCAGGCAGATCGAGATCTGGGGAGATCTGGGGAGATACGGGCGACCGGATGCTGCTGCAGGTCAGGCAGATCGAGATCTGGGGAGATCTGGGGAGATACGGGCGACCGGATGCTGCTGCAGGT